AAGAAAGAAAGAAGAAAGAAAGAAAGAAAGAAAGAAAGAAAGAAAGAAAGAAAGAAAGAAAGAAAGAAAGAAAGAAAGAAAGAAAGAAGAAAGAAGTTCAGGGACAAACTTCCTCTAGTAAGTGTGATCACTGTGTACATCTAAAGTGTAGCAACAAAATTAATTTTAAAAATTCTTACTAAATTAGGTAAAGAGAACATCTTCAAGCTGATTAATAATACATATAAAAGTACAGAATATGGTGTATTGTCTCTCAACGTGGTCTCAGTACAGAGGAGTCTGAGTCAGAAGGATCTCAGGTCCAAGTCCAGCCTATGTAACTCAATGGCTTAGTGAGATCCTTCCTCAAAATAACTTTGAAACAGGCCGGGGATACATCCCACTGTGACGGTGCTAGTTCAATTCCCAGTGCTAGCAAAGAAGGGAGAAGCTAGCTGCATGGTCCACGATGAGAAACCAGAAATTGCTGAGTGGGATGAGGAAGCAGGTGAGGGGGCTGTCGCCCAGCCCGCCCCAGCCCTGCCTGGGTGTCCTGGCTGCTGCACTCACATGCAGGAAAGGGGAGCAGCACAGGGCAGGAGGGAACAGAGAGAAGGGCCTCTGCGCAGGGCTGCCAGGAGAGTCCACAGAGAAAATCTGAACGACTTGGCCCAAAAGTAAGAAGTCCCTGGATCCAGTATGTGGTGACAGCAGAGTTGATTCAAGGTTAACGTAAAAGTCAGTTCCCTCTGTGACCCCGGCAGTGAACAGGGAGGGGACACTGAACTCAGTGCGGGTCGCTGCACCCCATCTGTACTCTACATAAACAGCTAGACGCTGGCAATGTGAAGCTGGCCATGGAAGGAATATTCCAGTGCTCAGTGCACAGCACACATCAGGCCGACTTAAAAGTGAGTTTTCATACCTGTTGCTTTAGTCAGGGTTTTACTAGAGGAACAGATATGACACAAGCTGTACCGGTCACAGCGTTGGATGAGGAAGTGAGCGGAGAGAGGCTGCACACCCCAGACTGAAGGACTGAGTCCCAAGGTCTGAAGCTCGCTGCCACGTTCTTTCTCTAACAGTCTCTAACAGTCTGTCATGGCTGGCTGATGGGTCTGCAATGAAAGGCTGAAGAATCTGTGACAGAAAGCTGAGGGATCCAAGCTGGAGGCTGAAGAGACCGCTTTGGAAGCCAGGAGAGGAAGTCCAAGCTGACTGCGAAGAATGAAGTTCCTTAAGAGAAGTCGAATGCTGAATCATTCCTCGACCCATTTACATCCCCTTTCTGTTCTGAGTTACTCTGGGGCAGGACCCTCACCTCCCAGAGCCTGGAAGCACCAGGAAATCCAGCCAAATTGACACAGTGTATTGACCGCTACACCTGGGTCAATAGCCAGTTATCATAATTGAAGCCCTGCAGGAGGCTGAGACATGGATCCTAAACTCAGAACAAGACTGGGAAGTGTAGCAACTTAAGGAGACCCTGTAAAAAATCACCGTACGGAGTCCAGGTCATTGTGTTCCAGGAGAAACTTCATAGAGCTCATCTGCTCATGGCTAAGGGGTTGCAGGGCCCAGAAAGGCTGTCAGGACATCATCTTGTGTTACTCCTTTTCATGCTGGAATCCCATTTTTGCATACCTTTTCTGTTATTTGAGCCAACTCCAGGCCATCAGCCCAAACAATACAACTCGCTCACACACACTGGGGGATGCTGTAGTTACAGCTAAGGAAAATGTCACCTGAAAGTGGAGCAGGGCATGAAGGCTGCAACGTGACACCCCAAACTGGCCTGTGGAGTGCCACATCTCCTGCGGAGCTGGGAAGAGAGCAGAGGCCCTCAGCAGAGCCTGCACAGAGGTGGAGGAAGCCCTGAGGTTTCCTGGGGGAACGATCTCTGTGTGTCACCCCTGAGTCCCCGTGCTCAGAGCACAATTGCCTCCTGGACATTTGCTGGACAGAAGTCCAGCTCTGCACAGTGAATTCTTTGGCGCCTCCTGAGGCCATCTAGTTGTTCCCAGGGCTCCACCACTCAGAGAAGTGACTGACATCTGCTGTCTTCCCATCCTGGTGGATCTCAGATCCTCCCTTGGATGTGCTGAGCCTCAAACAGCAGCATCCCAAGGACCACAAGGACGAAGTGAGCCAGGTGTATGTGGATGAGATTCCCCAGAGTGCAGTTCTGGACTTGGGGGGCTGTGGAGGGAAAGAGGGGTCACAGAGGTAAGGACAGATGGCATGGATTCCAGGGTCTCTTCTGTCCACCCAGCCACCTGCCTGCCGTGGACAGGATTAGGCCTACTGTGTCCATCCCCATGATAGAGTTCTCCTCCTCTGTCTGCACTCTGAGTGGTTCTGCGGTGGGTGAGGGCCTCAGTGTATGTTGAGCACCAAGGTCAGAGAGCAGGAGCTTCAGAATTGAAGAGACCCACGCTGTGCCTGAGGTCTCCCTCCTGTGTGCCCTCTTCCTGATGTAACTCGGTGTGGCCCTGAATGAGCCCTCTCCCTGCTGAGCTCCAGACTCTGATCTCAGATGCCCTCATAGGGTTTTCATTCATCACCTCCAACTTTCTTAATCATGAGATAGGACCCTGCTGTCCCCACCCAGTCAGGCTAGAAATGAGAAAATTCAGGACCAGAAAAGGACTCTCCTGCATGCATCCTGCCCACAGCCACAGTTGAAGCCCCAGTCTCCTAACACTAGTGGGGCTCAGTGCGGAATGAGGGTAGAGATGGGGTAAGAGCATCCAGGCAGCCTGGACACAGGAAGCTGAGAACCGAGCCCAGGACTCTCCTGCAGAGTGAGCACTGGGTCAGCCTTCAGCTTGGACCTGTCTGGGGCCGAATTCCAGTGGCTTCTTGAGCCCCATCAGAGCCCAGGAACCTGAGGGACTGAGCCCTGCTCAGCTGTGTACCTGGGCACGGATGCTACTGTCTTATTTGTCACGTCCAGTGACAGGGGACTTCACTGGCTTAGACAAGGCTTGTTGCTTCCGCCTGGCCTGGCACTTGCTGTTCATTGGCAAGAAAGCTCAGCCTGGAAGAGTCCCATGCATATCCTGGGTTCAGGTCTCTGCTGAGGCACCCATGCTCAGAGGGTCTCCTCTGCACCTTTCCTTGGAGCCCTGCTTGCACTTCCCACGGGCTCTCTGTATCACCATAGCTGTGTCGCTCGCAGCACTGTACACTTACGGGCTCTCTGCCTGGCTTGTGCTCTATCACTCCTGTCTTTTTGTCCTGTACTTTGCCACTCTGAGGGCACAGAGCCTGGGTACTGGTGGCCATCTAACCACATTCTCCGCCTCATAGACAGTGAACACTGGGGGAGGCTGCCCGCCGCATACGGCTGGTGATCCAGACTGCAGGAAGGAGACGCTGGGCTACAAGGACACAGCACCTCCCTCACAGGGCTTCAGCCTCCAGGGACCTTGGGAAGGCTCAGGGCAGGGACAGAGAAGAGCATCCTCACACTTGGGGAGCTCTAGGACTTGAAGGCCGGAGGTGCAGATTTATGCAAGGAAGATACTCAGTGCAAGAGAACAGAGACAATACCACAATGCCTGGGGGGTGGGCTGTAGAGAGGAGGATTTACTTGGTGGCTGAAGTTGTCCTTGAGTAGGTGACAGGAGAACTGGGTCCTGGTGACCAGATTGAGGCTGCTCTGTGACACCTGCGTGGAGCTCTCCTGCATCTGTTTTAGCTCCTGCTGGGCAGGGTCAGGCCCAAGTTCCTCAGGCTTGTGGGGCTCTAAGCACGGATGCTGTGCTCCTGTGGTGCAGCCCAACCCCTCCTTCCCTCCTCGCCTGCCTTCCTCATTGGCCCTAATGCTGGAGTTGCAAGAAAACAGGGATTGCAAATAGGATGAAGAAGAGCACCAAAACCCAAGTCAGGATTTTCAGGATCCTTTCCGGTCCTTGGCCATGAGTATTGTCTAGATTACGAAGAAATCACTTCAGCGATGACCCTGCCTTTGTGCAGTTTGCATTTTTGCCCTCCAACACTCTCAATCTTGTGACATAGGCCTGCTGTCCCCACCCAGGTAGGCTACAGATGAGAAGATCAATGACTAGGGTGGGACTTTCCTGCCTGTGTCCTGTCCACACCTGCACTTGAAGTCCTGTTCTCTGAACACCAGCTAGGCTGAGTCTGGAACAAAGGTTGAGATAGACTGAGAGCCTCCAGGCAGCCTGGATACAGGAAGTTGGGAACAGAGCCTGGGACATGCCTGCTGGGGAGCTGCATCCTGAGGGTAGTTGTAGGGTCCACAGAGGGTCCTATCGAGAAGCCTAGTGGGCCATCAATGCGGGTCCAGATGAACCTGGCAATGAAGACAGGAAAATTTGAAGGCCAGGTTGGTCCATGACACCATCCAAGGAAGGCTGTGCAGTCACACCCAAGATCTCCCGGACAACACCCCTGCCCACAGGGCACTTTTGAAATTCAAGTCAAGGGCCATATTAGGTACACCTTGAAGGAACCCTGTAACATTAGAAGTCTCCCCCCCTAGTTGTAATCCCTTGGTCCTTCTCCCTCCAACTGAGACACACTGTCCCTAGGGTTTACTGCCATGTGTGATTCTTTGATCTGAGAGAGGTCAGGGACAAGGTCTTCCCACCTGAGACCAAGAGCTCCATGACATCACTGGGTGTGGACCACACCTGGGGACTTTTCCTGCTAAATCCACAGCATCTGAACTTCCAGCTGTGCCCAGGAAACACGGGGCCCACATGGAACTTGGCCTGGAATGGTCTCTTGGGATTTTGTCTTGACACTAATGTCCAGGAGAGCTCGTCTTTTCCTTCTTTAGTTAGAATGAATCTGTCTAATCCCCTCTGTGGGCCACACTGGAGGGTCACATTCTCTCCTGACATCACCACAAGGTGAGGCAGGGCTGAGAGGCTGGGTTTGCTGTAGACTCCTAGGAGAGAAGAAGGCAGCCTATGAAATGGACTCCCAGATCCCTCACTGTCCCCAGGGCTGGACTGAGAGTGGGAGACACCCCTGAGAGCAGGTATCTTCTTTAGGACAGAGACTAGGGCTAGGCTTGACTGTCTTCTCACCTGTTACCACAAGTTCCAGGACATCACTGGGTTCTGACCAGCCAGCAGGGATGTGATAGGTACAGCGATATTGTCCTGCATCATCTTCTCTCATGGATCGGATGAAGAACTTGGCCCTGTCACTGAGTAAGATTGATACTTCCAAGGTCCTCGATCTTCCATCTCTGTACAGATGGTACTTCTGGGCTGCCAGTGTCCCCTGACACCAGACGCTCACAGACCTTCCCCATGGGATCACAGAGCCAGGTTCAGCCCAGAGTGTGGATTTTGGGAGGGAACCTGTAGGGAATTCCAAGGCTGAGCCCAGAAACTGTTAAATCCCCTATGTCAATCCAAGGCCTCTCCCATGTCTCTCCCTCAGCCCAAGCCTTTGTATCCCAGCTGATACTGAGGGGCTGAGCATGGGACAGGACACAAGGTGCTGGGGAGGACTCACCTGCAGGTCCTTGCAGGTCCCATTTGCAGACAGCCCTGGAAGAGAGTTTTCTGTGCTGTCAGAGGCCCTATCTTGTGCCTCGGCGAATTCCCCCCTCTCCACCCCAAGCTGGTCCTTTCCTGCTCCCAGCACTGACCTAGGCAGAGCAGAGAAGGCGCCACAGGTATCATGTTGCCTGCTCTGACTGCTCCAGCTCTGACTGAGGAGACCTCAGCGCTGCAGGACTCACCGATGAGCGGAAGTGGAAAGTCAGAGCTGCCTCCACCCCTGCTCCCACCTCTGTGGACCCACCCAAAGGAGACAGACAGCTCCACCCTGCACAGGCTCTGGACTCTACCGGCTCAGGATCCAAAGCTCCATGGAGAAATCTCAGCCCAGACCTGAGCTCTCCTTGGGACCCCCATCTTCCCACATGTCGAGAGCTCCAGTCATTGAAGGAAGGACCCAGGCTCCGGCCATGTAGGCTGCAGAAGCTGGACTCCAACCAGGACACTCATCTTTAGAAAGCCTCCCTGGTGTGCCACTCCTGGGCATTTGCAAATGTTTACTTAGGACACTTTTTCCAGTTTTCTCAGAACTAGAAAGTGTCTGGTCTAGAGGTGCACATGGCCTGTGTTCTGAGCAGGAGATCCTCCATAGAGACCAAGTGTGCGATTGCTTGTCCAGCAGAAACAGGAGGAGGAGCAGACCTCTCCCCCATCAGGGTTTCCTCTTTCTACCTTGGTTGTCTCCAGTGTTTCACAGTAGTAACAACACATGGACCAATCTAGCACCGGAAATAAATGTGTGCTTCCTCCTGTGCTCTGACTCCCACCTCCCTTTAGTGTTTTTCCTTCTTGGGACCTGAAGGAGGATGCCCACCACCTCCTCCAGAGCCTCGCACCGCGGCAGTTCCCACACCGTCCTGCAGGCTGAGAGCTCTGCTGGCTTCACTGCCCTGGCCTGGGCTGCACTTGAAGCAAGCATGGCCCCGAGTGAGTAGGCTGTGGCAGGCCAAGCCCAATGCGGAGGGCTTTCCTCTCTGTGCCTTCTTTACCATCAGAATGCCCACCTGGGCTGCATGAGGTGACGGTCGGTGGTGTCCACCTCTGGGAAAGTGTCCACCTGCTACTCCCTGGTGGACTCCCTGCAGGGCCGAGGGCTTGGGGGTGTCAGGTGCTCTGCCTGCCCAGGGGCCTGTGTTGGATGACGGAGAAGGAGAAGGACTTCAGGGCTTCCCCACGCTTGGATCACAACCCTCTTCAAGTCACAGGGTCTGATATTAGTGAACATGTCGTTGTCCTGTGAGAAGCAGGCACTGTGGGAGGTGACAGCACTGAGGGAGCATGGAGAAGCCAGGCTCCCCCTAAGCAGCCCCAGGCAGGTCACCATCTTCAGGGTGTGAGGGGCCTCTGTTCACTGGGATGATGGCTAGAGCTGGGGAGAGGTCCTGAGGGTGAAGCCCTCCCGCAGCCATGGGGTGTGCACTGTGACTGCTCAGGAGGCTCAGGGTCTGCAAGCCAGGAAGTGCAGGGACACAGCTGGCCCACGCTCTCTGTGCTCCAGGCTGAGTCTCCCCAAGGGCCAGAGCTGCCACAGGGCCCTGGCAGTGGTGTCTGCAGCACAGAGCAGTGTGAGCGGAGCCTGGGAAGCAGGAGAGAACCTGAACTGGGAGCAGCATCTCAGGGTGGTGGATCAGGAATGGGCCAGCCACATGGCTACAGGCTCCCCAGGGAGGAGCCATGGGGTTGGTCCAGGAGGGACATTTGGAAAAGTAGGGAGGAGGTGGGAGGAGACAGCACAGGGCACTGTGTGGAGCTCACCTGGGATTCTAGTGAACACTTAGAGCAGCAGAAGGCTGATGGAAATGGAGACAGAGAGTGTTGTGCTCAGCAGGCTTGAGGGGGGCACAAGGGCTGCGCCTAGAAGTGCACTAGAGGAAGCTTTTTTTTAACACTTTGGAGAGCTTTTGCTTTTTTGCCAAACTGAAGTGTGAGCAGCACGTGTCTCCCAAGAATTTAAAGTACTCAATAAATACTGAGAACACCTCATATAGGATCAATAGAGTATGTTAGCACATTCAGGAAAAAGAACCAACAGAGAATGCTGAGATACACGGAATGAACTTCCTACCCAAGTTGCTTTCATCATTGCATTTTAGGGGAAGTTATTGCTGCCTGTGTGGACAAAGATAACACTTGCACACCTTCTATGTGTGGAAAGTTGCTTACCACGTTTTCCTGCCACACGGTGCTTTACAGCCACACTTGACTATAGAGTGAAGTGTTGGAAACACTTCATCTGGAAATGTTGAGTGCAGACCATGTGAAAGCTTTTTTAGGGCCAATTTGTTATTCTTAATTACACTTGAAAAAGAAACCCACGATCTCTAACTCTGTGGGTAGGTTATGTTGCACTGCAAAGCTAAGAGTGTTCGTTGCTGCCTTGGTTTCCTCTTGGCCCCAGGTGAGCTGCACCAGGCAGGCTTCATGCAGTGTCCACAAGTGAAATCGTGTGTGGGCCTCTCTGTATGTTCCCATCCATTCTGCTGCAGCATGGGCTGTGTGTCTTGCCTCATGGGTGGCATCCTGCCCACTTGCTGAAACCAATGTGCAGCTTGTTCCCCTCAAGCAGTGACCTCAGCCAGCACAGGCAGTGCGATCCTCCATTGCCCCTGGGAGACACGGAATGACTTGGTCAATTTAGAGTGCTCAAGAGTTCAGAGAGTCTTCCTGTCAGGGCTGGACATGAGTGCCACTCCTCAGGCCCCTGTCACTGGAACCTCGTGTGCACAGGACCCTTGGAGCACACCTGGATCAGAGAGGTGAATGGGAATCAACCAGCCACGGAGCATGGGTATTCCAGGCACGAGAGGCCAGGGAGATCTGGTTCCAACCAGTGTGCACATCAGGCGCTGTGGTATTCACAGACCTCCTGATTCAGGCTGGGAGAGCAGGTGCTCATGGGAAACTGTTTGTCCACACTGAGATGCTCCAGTGCAGGGATTTCTGTGTGCAGGAACAAATTGTGCTGATACCCATAGCTGGAGAAACCCAAGTTCAGAGTAGCAGCTGGGCCTGTTCTGCACAGACACTGATTTCAGGGAAGGAGATAGATGAAGATGCCTGGCCTGCTCAGCAGGAACTGAGCCCACTGTGTGCAGAGAGCAGCCCGGCTCTTTTTCCACAGGACACTGGGATGGAGAACAGGTTCCTAGTCTCAGCCCTCAGGCAAAATCTGTGTACTATCAATCCTGGAGAGGGCAGATGTGTGACAAGGCAGAAGGGATTCTTCCTGTTACCTGGCACCAGGAGACAAGTCATCCTGCCATCTACCTGAGTATTATGGGCTGTGGGTCTCTCACATGGGACCCAGCTCTGTGACAAAGTGGACCTGTGTTTCCAAACTCCCACCATTCACCTCGAGCAGAGGGGAAGGTTCCATAAAGGAAAAGGGCTGAATCCCTGTTTTTCTTTCTTTCTTCCTTCCTTTCTTCCTTCTTTCCTTTCTTTCTTTCTTTCTTTCTTTCTTTCTTTCTTTCTTTCTTTCTTTCTTTCTTTCTTTCTTTTTTCTTTCTTTCTTCTTTCTTTCTTTCTTTCTTTCTTTCTTTCTTTCTTCTTTCTTTCTCTTTCTTTCTTTTCTTTCTCTTTCTTTTAGGACATATGGGAGCTACCTTTATTTGAAATTATTGTTTTTACAATTCAGGATGCCATAATCATAAGTTAAAGATCAGCTATCACATAATTGCTCTGGAAGCTAAGAGATATTGGTTTGTCTGTGTAATAAAGGCAACTGCAATGACTTTCTGTTCTGTATTTCTTTTAAAAAAGTTACTATGACTCTAGCTTGTGAGAAGGAAAGTCAATGTCATCTTTGTGCTGTCTCAAAATATTTTTTGGATGACTTCCAGGCTCTTCTTTTATTTCTTCTTTTTTCTCTCTGAGTTCAATGAAAAGAAAGTTTTGAACTAATAGTGCTTAGACATGTCTGCGTCTTGTACTGTAATGACTACAAAGACAACAATATGCAATGCACTAATGATCGTACCTGTCCTCCTAACCTGTTTTGAGACTGTCTCATTGCTACTTCTTTCTCAATAAAATTAGCATTAAAAACATCCTTGCTTTTCTACATCACAGCCTCAATTCCCATGTGGCCTGTGACCATGTGTGGCGATGCAGGCAGTAAGCTGGAGTTCAGCTTTTATTCAGTCATCCTGATTTAATGTAAGTGGAATCCATCACTAGGCCCTGCCCTATTTGACATCTCTGATACATAGTACTCTATACCACTGTCAAATTTATTGGATAATTTCACGAGAGTGTGTTGTATGTTACGGGTCGGTGCTGAAAGAAACGACAAAAAGACCTGATGAATGTAGCTTCAGAGGTCTCCCTGAGATTAGTCTCTCTCCAAGTGAGCCTCAGAAGCATCTCACATTTACTGAGGGGTAAAGGCAGACTAAGGAATGTGCATAATTACTTAAGTAAATACAAACCACTATATCTAGTGCCTTCCATCATTTACCTAACTCTAGGTTCACACAAATGCTACTGATAACATCCCAAGCAAGGGATCAAAGGACAGGGCGCCTGCAGGAGAAGCTGTTATCTGCAGCCTTGAGTTCCAGCTTTCTGGGAATTTGCAGACAGCAACTCTCCTTGGGCTCTATTGTTCCCTGCTTTCTTGGGACATCAGGTCTTTGTCTCAAATCTATATTTCTACAAGAATTTGTTGGCTACCTGCATCAGGCCCCTCAGGATTATGTTGGGAGAGTTCCAGGATGTTTAGCCACCAGCCATGAGAAGTCAAGGGTGGCTCACGACCTCACATGTCCAGTGTCAACAATGGAGTCACTGGAGGCTGTGCATTGCCGAGGCCCTCAGGCATGTTCTGATGTGCTGATTCACCTGGTGCACCACAATAAGGAGCAGCATCCCGCAGAAGAAAACCTGCCCAGGAGAGGCCCAGGTCCTTGCCACAGGGGCTCTGGGGACTCAGAGCCTGGGGCAGCCTGGCCTCACTGTGTGCTTGCTGGGTGCTGAGTTAAGGGTGATGCAGGTCTCTGCTCACAGTCCTGGGTGCACAGGGCAGTAGTGTGCACAGTGATGGGAGTGATCTGTGGTCTCACATCTTTGCAGCCTCCTCTGTGTCTTTGCTGCAGGGTCCTGAGAGGGTCCTCAGGGATCAGAGCCCAAGCCTGCACCCATGAAGGCAAGATGTTCACATGTATGTGGCTTGGCAGCTGTGGGGTGGTTCTAAGATTTGGGAGACCCTGTCTCATCCATCATTGGGTGGACAGGCTGGAGATCAGCAGGCAGCTCCTGGGCTTTAGAGGGGGCTTAGTTGTTGGCCCTGGAGCTTTGTCCTCACAGGTATGATTCCAGCTCAGCCCAGAGACCCCAGACCTGAGCTCTGCAGGCTAATGCAGGAGA